TTGCAGAATAAGAAAAAACATTCTCTGCTAGATTTGCTTATAGCCGCATCTTGGAACGATAATCAAATAGATGAGGAAGGAATTCGAGAAGAAGTGGATACTTTCATGTTTGGAGTGGGTTTTCGTAAAAGTAGTTACTTACAAGAACAAAGTTTAATAATATTCTATAAAATGATACGTTTTAGGGTCACGACACTACTGCGAGTGCACTGACCTTTACTTTGAGTCTTTTTGCTAAGCTCAAAGATGTCCAGGTAATGTTACAAGCTAAAATTATCATTTGAAATGATTAGTAAAAGAAAAAATTCTTAATTGTTCATTCATTAATAATCAATTAATCATTGAATCGTTTCACTAATTTTATTAATTTGTTACTAATACTAAATAATAATCAAATTAACTAAAAAACAGGTTTCATCGGTTTGCGAATGTTTACAGAAATTATTAAAACTTTCTAAATATTTTGTGTTCAGCGATTTTTATAGTCTTTGGAATGAATAATCTATGATGTGTATTTATTTTAAGGAAAATATAAGAGATGAGGTAAAAACGATAATGCAGGAAGGTAATAATATAACAATAGCATCGCTTAAAAAACTTTCATATTTGGAGAGATGTTTAAAAGAGTCGTTTCGTTTGTATCCAAGCGTCCATATAATATCTCGACAAATTCCTCACGATATGCAGCTAAGTATGAAAATATATGCATATGTGTACACGTGCACTTTAGCATTACTCATGTACTATTTATTTTTTATTTTGTATATTATGTAATTATATTAATTTCGCAGAACAATATTTAATTCCATCTGGTACGATATGTCTCATAGACATTCACAATGTGCACAGAAATCCAGAATATTGGCCAAATCCAAATGTTTTCGATCCGGATAGATTTTTACCAGAAAATATTAAAGAACGTCATCCCTATTCCTACATACCATTTAGTGCTGGCCCGAGAAATTGTATTGGTAAATGGCTTATGTAGAAATGACTAGAACAATTTAAAAATTTGAGTTTTTATTTTTGTATTTCTCATTTCACAGGTCAAAAATTTGCAATGCTTGAGCTTAAACTCTTTGTAGCTTTTATATTGTACAATTTTGAGTTAGAACCGGTGGATGAACTAGATGATGTTACATTTATTTCAGATATCACTTTGAACACGTCTAAACCACTTCGAGTCAAATTTATACCTATTTGAATATTAAATAATTACTTAATTAATATTACAGTAAATAAAAAAATAAAATATTCTATAGTCAAAGCCAGTGCTTTAGTCCTAAATCCCGAAAAAATAAACAAAAGTAGCAGTTGTAGTAGTAGTTGTAAACAAAAGTAAAAGTTGTAAGTTATATTTGATTGACTTATTGTCAACAAAGATTCTATATTTACATGTTGAAGTTTGACAGATACTACACTATGCGCGTTTAAACAGACCGCAATTTTTGGGACGCTTAGGATCGTAAGTGCGTTTCTATTGATAATTTACTGGTATGCATAGTCATCTTCTTATAAAATACCGTTGATAGAGACGTGCATTTTGTAGACCGTCTTTATATCCATATTGTTTAGCCCGTCAAAATAGTTCCAAATGTTAAAAAATGATAATTCTTTGGCGAGAGATCTGGTGAATAAGTCGGCAAAATTTCGTATTTCAATTCATTTAATTTTTTCATGGTTTTTGTGGGATTTATGTGGCCGAGCATTATCGTGGAGAAATAGTTGGCAATGCTGATTAACAAGTGATGGGTGTTTAATTTTTAATTTTGCATGCTTCTCATCACTATGTTAGCATAACAGCTGCTAGTCTCGGGGAAAGAAAACTAGTTTGTAGTGGTCCCCGGGGTGGGTGGGTCCCAGTCACCACGACACAGCGCGTCCTCGGGTTGCGATAATTAATAAATAATTATCGTACGAATGGGATCACTGACTACACTCGACTATACTCTACACAAAACCCGCGAATATCCGTAATCTTACGGCAACTCGCTATTCATTCGCTAATCGCTCTCTAATCGCTCGTTTATCACTCGCTCCCTCACGCGTGCCTACCTTCTCCTTTTATGTTCATGCCCCCCCCCCCACTCTGAATCCCTGGGGGATGACTATATTGAAATATTGAATATCTCTTTCACAGGATGGCTCTAGAATAGTTGTAAAATTTTCGAATATTTCTCGAAGAAGAGAGGTTAAGAGACATGGAGTACCATTGAAACATACATTTATGTACACCCAGTGTAATCCTACTGATAAAATATACTTAATTAAAGTTATAATTCAAATTATGAGTTAAAACCAGTTAGATAAACGTCACGTTAAATTAACACGTTGTTAATCGACTACAAGTAAACTCATGTTCGCATCATTTTTTTTTTTATCACCAGTTCCGTTCGGTCAAAGCATAGATTTTATATATTCTCTAGTTATAAAAAAAAACAATCACAATTTATGGTATAGAGTTAACGTTTTCCAATAATGCATTTACTTTAGTTAATATTTGATAATAAAATCCGTTTTATCATATTATAGTCGTCCGTCTTGTCTACCTTGAAAATATATTTTTTATAGTTATCGACAGTGGGAACCTATGTTATCGACGTAGTCTGGTAATGTATCGACGTGCCTGAGGTAAAAGCTGAGTTGGCGGGACATCTGATTCCCGCTGATTTCAAAAAGCGGCTTTAATGTACATCGAAATTCGAAACCCTGATCGTTAAATTCACGGTGCTTAGGTAAGAAGAAGCACGCTCGTTATAGGAAATTTGTTATAAATTGTGTCTCCTAAAAAATTAACAAAATAACAATACTTATTTCTGCCACTAGGGCGGCATGAAACGTGTAGATAGATATTTTTTAACGGTGTTCAACATTTTTACGTTTTTCAAGAAACAAAAATAGTATTGTTGAAAATGGTGAAAAAGGATGCTATAAAAAATGGTTTTAGCTGCTTTTCAGCTGAAAGGAAATTAAAATGGGAGTTAAATCAACGATACAAACAGCCTTATAACCAATATAATGGTATATAACACACCTAGGGCGTTAAAGTAAGAAATGTCTCGGAGCACATGTAATTGTTGTCCGAGGCGAAGCCGAGGTGTTTGTCTTATTAAATAAATTCTATTATTATCATATAATCTTGATATTAAATAAGAATTTTTGCGACTATATGGTGACCAATTAGTTATTGTTTATGTAAATACAAATATATATAGATGTATGTACAGCATTAAAAATGTACCATAAATAATATTTTATTTTTATATAACACATTTAATTATTATTACCATAATTGATAGATAATTTATTCTTTACTAAATATTAGAGTTGTATACTTATTACAAATTTGATCATGTCAAATGTTTCTTGTAAATAAAGTATATTGTAATCTATATACAAAACTAACCTCATTTGCTCAAGTGCAAGACCAGTGAGATTCGATGATTGGTGGGTTAGAAAAAGTGGAAAATATCATTGGTTAAAAGTACTGCTGACGGATTTCCAACACAACACAAATCGAATGAACTGTATGAAATTAAGAATTCATAGAAATTCGATTTGATGTTAGTGTTTTGAAAGTAAGCAAAGGTGCGCTAAAACTAGCTTGTTACAAATTCAAATGATAAACGGTCGGTAGTAATATTCGGTTGAGTTTTCGGAAAAAGAAATTTTGTACATTTGTAAAGTAAAACAATGACAGACACAGATGAATGGTAAATAATTTATACAAATTTTTCCTTTTATTAACAATTACTAAGAAATAATAAATTTAATG